CGAATGTCGCGGTGACGTTGTATTGTACCGATACCAATGCTTTCACTCTGACAGTCTTTACTGATGGTACTGGGGAGTACAGTTTTACTGAAATTCCACACTGCGACTATGTCATATCTGTTCCTCAACAGGTAAATACTACCGAGGGTGATAAATCTATCGTCGACGGATACGACAATGATGAAACATTGACTATTGCTGATTTGAGTGTCAATTCTGAGACTTCAGATATCACTAATGTGTATTTCCTCTATAAAGTTTTGCCAAGCATGTCTGCTTCCCCCAGCCCCAGCACGTCTAGCATTGTTCCTGCGGTTATTTCTGGAACCGTGACTGGAGTGGAGAATGGAGAAGGGATCGCAGGTGTTCCTGTGACCGCAACTTGCTCTACTGACGAATCCACTGTGTATACGACCACCACCATTGCGGATGGATCATACTCCTTCAACGAAGCAGTGGATGACTGTAGCTACACCATCACTGTCCCAGAGACGTATAACGGCGAGGTTGTTGAAGGCCCAAATACACAAGTGGTAGTCATCACCCCCACAGATCGCACTGGGGTGGCTACGTTTGAGTTCATTCCTCTGGGCACGATTTCAGGACGCACTCTGAACGATTTCGATGGTGCACCTCTCGCTGGAGAGTTCGTGCTGTTGTCGTGTGGTAATATCACCAGCGAAGCCATTACCAACGCGACTGGTCACTATGTCTTCGAGGACCTTGTAGACTGCGAATATATCATCACTGCCCCATTTGCCATTGACTCAGATGATTTCACAGGAGTCATTGTTGAGGGACCAGTAGATGCGGACTCAACAGAGGAAGATACCACTGTTACGATTGATAGGGAAAATTTGTCGAAAGAGAACGTTGACTTTAAATATTTGCCCCAAGGTTCGATCTCGGGTAGTCTTCGAGATGAGGTTACAAAGGTTGGTATTGCTACGGAAACAGTCACTCTAACTTGCGATGAACATAGTCCGGTGAAAGTCATCACGACTACAACAGACGTTGACGGTAACTACGAATTCACTGGACTCGGCTACTGTAACTACAAGGTCGAGGCTCCCGCTACAGTGGCAAGTGTCGGTGACGTCTTCTCAGGACCTGACGACACCGACGAGATTGAGTCGTCCACATTCGTTGAGATATCTGTCCTCGACCAGTCCGAGGGCGAGGTTGATTTCACGTACTCCCAGGTGGGCAGTGTCTCAGGAACTATTTATGAAGACTTGGAGGCTGTCGAGAATGGAGTGGATTCAGTAGTGGTGACACTAACATGCACAGAGAACGCTGATGTATTTTATGAGGAGACCACCGATGCAAGCGGAGTATTCAACTTCAACAGTGTCCCTCTGTGCAAGTATACAATTGTTGTGCCTGAGGAGGTCAACACCACTGTCGGCCTGAAGCCCATCTCCGAAGGCTACGATGTGGACGACACCAAGACTGTGGCGGATGTTAATGTCGACTCCGAAACCACGGATGTTACCGGTGTAGACTATATTTACAAGGTCCCGACCCCAGCTGTTATTTCAGGAGTCGTCACAGGCTTAGAGGACGGGGAGGGTATTGAAGGTGTCACTGTGACTGTAACATGCTCATCGGACACTGAGATCAAGTACGAAGCTATCACGGATGCAAATGGAACTTACACAATCGCCGACAATGTCGTGGACTGCTTATACACTGTAGAGGTGCCCGAGACGTTCAATGGAGAGCCCATCGAGGGCCCTAGCAGTGACGAGGTAAACATCACCCCTAATGATCGAACAGGACAGGTGGATTTCACTTATCTTCCTCTCGGAGCAATTTCAGGACACACACTCAACGATTTCGATCAATCACTTCTCGCTGGGGTTTCAGTGATGTTAGCATGCAATGACGATGTGGTAAAGACTACGACCGATAGCACGGGTTTCTATATATTCGAGGAACTAGTAGACTGTAACTATACAGTGACGGTCCCTCTGTCGGTCCAAACTACCGACTTCGATGGCATTATCGTAGTAGGACCCATTGATTCGGACAAACTGGTCGAGAAGCACAGCATCATCATCGATATTGAACACCTAACAGAGGAGAATGTTGACTTCAAATATCTTCCTCAAGGCACAATTGCCGGTACCCTTCAGGATCATGCTAGCACCGCTGGTATTGCAGATCAGACTGTAACTTTGACATGCGCTGATCCTGAGACGACGATGACAACGCAGTCCGACGCTAATGGTAACTACATGTTCTCTGGACTTGGATACTGTGACTACACTGTCGCAGCCCCTGCCTCTGTCGATACTTTTGGCAATATTTACGAGGGACCTTATGACGATGAGGATGTTCTATGGTCTACCAGTGTTGCAATCACATTCGAAGACCCATCGGAGGGTGAAGTAAACTTCAGCTATGCTTCGGTGGGAAGCATCTCGGGTACAATCTACGAAGACTCGATTGATTTAAGCAATGGAGTGAGTGCGGTACCGGTGACATTAGTTTGTACCGATTCCAATAACTTCACAATGACAACAGCAACGGAGGCGAATGGAGCCTACGCTTTCAATGATATACCCCTATGCGTGTACACTATCTCCGTACCCGAAGAGGTCAGCACGACCGGTGGTTCGAAGCCAATCGCTGAAGGTTATGACGATGATGATACAAAGGCAGAGGCGGAGATTACTATCGATCTTACCAAGACTGATGTCACAGATGTTGATTTCTTATACAAGGTGCCAGCTGTCATTTCTGGATTAGTGACAGGTTTCGAAGATGGAGAGGGTATCGAGAACGTAACAGTGACTTTGACTTGCTTAGAGGACATGACTATCGTATACGAAGCCATCACAAATGAAACGGGAGCATACACTATCGACGAGAATATCGAGGATTGTACCTACACCATTGCCGTGCCAGAGTCATACAATGGAGAGCCGATCCAGGGACCCGCCAACAAGACAGTAGCCATTACACCAACTGGTCGTACAGGAACCGCGGATTTCGAGTATGTTCCTCTAGGCTCCATCTTTGGATTCACACGCAATGATTTCGACCAGTCACCTTTGGCGGATGTCATTGTGACATTGAGCTGCGATGGCGTTGAAGTGAACAGTACCACTACCGATAAATTAGGTCACTACGTATTCGAGGACCTTGAAGACTGTGCATACACAGTCACTGCACCATTATCTGTCAGCCAAAGCGACTTCGCAGGCATCATCACCGATGGACCGGTTGATGAGGATGGTAGTGTGAGGGAGCACAAAGTTAAGATCGACATTGGAAACATGCACGAGGAGAATGTTGATTTCGCTTACCTTCCCCAAGGAAGCATATCAGGTTCTCTTCAAGACTTTGTCAG